CGGGAGTCACGGGATGGGGGGGGCGGCCGGGGCTGGGGTCCCCGCAGGTCGTGGGGGGGCAGCCCGTCGCGGTAGAAGGCGGAGGGCGGCGCGGCCGGGAGGGTGCCGGGGCGACCCAGCGCCCGCCCCGGGGTGCCCATCACCGCCACCCCGTTGCCGCCGCCGCCGTTGCCGTCTTCCATCTCCTGGTCGTCGTCGTCGTCGTCCTCCTCGGGGCAGGCGTCGAAGTCGCGGGGGCGCAGGTGGCGCAGGTCGGTGCCGCGGCGGTGCGGGGGGCTGGCGCAGGGCACCGGGGAGCTGGAGACGCGCGTGCGGCGGAACCAGGCCCAGAGCGGGCGCGCACGGCAGTCGCAGGCCCAGGGGTTGGCGTTGAGGCGCAGGAACTGCAGCGAGGGCAGCGCGGCCAGCGGGTCCCCGGGCAGGGCCACCAGGCTGTTGTTGAACAGGTAGAGGATGGTGAGGCGCGCCAGCCCCCCGAAGGCGCGGCGGTGGATGGCCGCCAGCCGGTTGGCGTGCAGCAGCAGGCGGTCCAGGCTCGACAGCCCGCGGAAGACGCCCTCCGACAGCGCCCGCAGCCGGTTGCCGTGCAGGAAGAGGTGGCTCAGGTTGGCCAGGTCGGCAAAGAGGTCGTCCTGCGGGGAATGGCAGAGGGGTGGGCGTGGGGTGGGGGTCCGCTGTGCTGTTCTGTGGCCCTGCCTGGTGGGCGTCAGCTGGAGAGCCGCTGGTGCGGGCCCCACAGAGCCCTGCCATGGGTCCTAATCCTGCCAGCGAGGCTTGTCACCCTCTCCTGTGTCCCTGCTCTGCGAGAATCATGCAAGACCTCATCCCATGTCCCATGCTGGTGTCACCCTGCTCCCTCAGCATCTCCTGTTCCTGCCCTGCATTCTGGCTGCATCAGCACCACCTTGTCCCACATCCTTTCTCCATGGCCGTCACCCTGCCCAGTCCCACCTCTGTGCCCTGGAGGCATCGCCCGGCAGCCCTCCTCACCCACCTGGAGGTAGAGCAGCCCATTCTCCTGCAGGTAGAGGTACTGGAGGCTGCGGAGGCCGCGGAAGATGCCGCTGGGCAGGTTGGCCAGCCGGCACCGGTAGAGGTGCAGGGCCTGGAGGCGGTGGAGGCCGTGGAAGGTGTCGGGGGCCAGGACGCGGAGGTGCGGGTTGTCACCCAGGTCGAGCTCCTCCAGGGCGGGCAGGTGGCGGAAGGTGCCCGGCTGGATGGAGGAGATGTTGTTGGAGTAGAGCCAGAGGGTGACGGTGCTGGGCCCGAAGGTGCCCGCCCGCAGCGCCCCGATGACGTTGTTCTGCAGGAAGAGGCGGCGGGCGCCGGGCGGGAGCCCCGCGGGCACCGAGGAGAAGTTGTTGGCCTGGCAGCTGACGGTGGGCGGCGAGACGTAGCAGGTGCAGAGCGCGGGGCAGGCGGGAGCCCCGCCGGGCACCCACACCAGCGCCGCCAGCAGCAGCAGGGCCGCCGGGCGCCCGCCTGAGGGCACAGCGGGGCGTCAGCGCGGGGCACCGCGCGTCCCGACCCCCGCGCCGCCCGCCCCCCGCAGCCCGCAGAGCCTCCCGGGGCCGTGCCCACCCGCCTGGCAGTGGCGCTCCAGGGGGGCCACGGATGGCTCTAGGAGCCCCCCGGGGCCGTGCCCGCCCCATCAAGGCGTGGTTCCTTCCGAGGGTCCCAAGGTCCTGATCATTCCATAGGGTTGGGCATCCCAAGGAGCCCCCAGGACTGTACCCACCCTTAGGGCCGTGGTTGCCCAGGAGAACCCCAAGGTCATGACAACCCCACAGGGCTGGGCACGCCTGGAAGCCCTCGAAAGCCACGCCAGCTCCATAGGGCCATGGATCCCCAGGAGAATGCCAAGGTCATCACCACCCTGTAGGGCTGGACACCCCTAGGGAGGGGACCGTGCCCACCCACAGGGCCACGGCCCCCAGGAGGCCTGAGAGCCATGTCTCCCCAGGGACCCCCGAGGCCATGCCCACTCACACGGCCATGCTCCCATAGGACATCCCTAGGACATCCCTAGGACCACAGACCCCATGGAGAGTCCCCAAGGTCATGACACCCAATAGCACTGGGCGCCCATAGCAGCCCCCAGACCCACATCAGCCTACAGGACTCTGGTCCCCAGAGACCCCCCCAGGGCTGTGCTGCTGCACAGCACCAAGGCTGGGCACCCCAAAAAGTGACTGTCCATCTGTGACCTTCTGGGGCCGTTCCTGCTGATGGGGTCACATTCCCCAGGGACCCCCAAAGCTCCCTGACCGCCCCTGCCATGGCCACGCTCCTGCAGGACCGTGCCCGCCCCACGGTGCACCAGAACCCCTCACAGGGTCACAGACCCCTGGGACCCCCCTCACCCCAATCTGGGGGGGGTCCGTGCCCCCTCCCCAAACGGGGCGGTGCCACGTGCGCGCGTGCCGCGGCCACGTGTGGGGCGGGGCACGCGTGGGCGCGGGCTGACGACACGCGCCGCCGCTCCGGGTGTTCAGCATCCCCCCCTTCTCCCCCCCCCCAC